TGTTGAATATATGAACGTTTCTGGAGTCCGAGGATGAGCACTGTGCAAACTAGGTTTTCTCTGCCTCTAGTCCAGATCAAATTTCTTGTGAAGTGGCTGGTGAGGCTGTCTCTTTTATAACGTCTAGCTTTCGTGCTCACGCGAGTGAGGCCCTGAGAAACATCACCAGGTGACAAGTCTGTCACTTGGAAACTGTCCCTCTTCAGTTCAAACCTGAAGAACAGATTGGTCCTAATGGCTACCTGTTGTTCTTATCCCAGGGTACTCCACTGAAACCAGCTGTCAACACACGAATAAAACTGCAGAATCTTGTTAGCTTTGTGCCGCTCACCACTGACAACTGCACTGCAACATGGTAAAGACAGCAGGAGAACAAGGATGAGTTTCACAAGTTCCCTGAGTTGTCTGGAGTCAGATTTTCAAAAGACTTTTGAACTTGTGGACAAAGGAAAAACCAATGGACTGGACATGGAAGGCGCAGGAACTTAACTTTGAACTCACAGTGGTAGGAATGAATTGAAGCTCTTGGGAAAGACTCCTCATGACACGTGCAAGAGAAAGTCACTTTCTTTGCAGTCCTTTGAAGTCGTGAACAGGTGTGTGCGTAAGGGAGACCCTTTTCATACAACCTATTTTAATTTTAAAAGGGTATTCAACACGGTTTCTAATCAAGTCTTGAAGGAAGCTAACAAGTTTTGAGACATGAGGGGAGGTCGTCACATGGATACAACGTTGATCAAAGGATAGAAAACAGAGTAGGAAAAATACTCAGCTTTCACAGTGATCTGTGCTGAGCTCATGCTGCCCAACATGCTGTTAAACAATCCAGAGGATGAGTAAGTAGATGACAGTTTGCTGGAGGTGCTGAGTTACTCAGGGTTATAAAGACGGGACCTGATTGTGAAGAAGGACCTTATGAAACAGAGTGACTGCATATTAAAATGGGAGACGAAGTGCGGCATAAACTGATGTGTACAGGAAAAAATAATCCTAACCTCATACATTGTGATGTGTTATGAGTCATCTATGACCATTTAAATACAAAATCCTGGGGTTATAAAAATTAGCCTCATAAAAATGTCATTTCAAAGCCCAATAGCACTAAAAACAAACAAACAAAGAAAAAAAACCCCCAAGCAATTCAAAAGTTAGGCAAGAACAGAGACTGTAACACAGAGCTTTACCCCACTGTAGGAAAATTACACGTGGCTGCTTGGTGAGAGTGGTGCTTTCCCAAATCCATGTGTTTTAAGAGAGTAGTGGATATACAAAGCCAGTGGAAGGGAACCAGAGGCAGCCTTCACCGACACGTGTCTCAATACCTTTGCCTTTGCTGCAGCGTTGTAACGACCACCTCAGGGACTGCACTTGTGTCTAATCAATTGACTGGGGAAGGAACTATTATTTACAATCATACCACAACCAGCAAAGTCACTCCCTCCTCTCATGTTGGTTTACAGCACGCCACATATTCCATAACCCTATAGGTGCTTGTCTCAAAACCCCTTTGAGCAAGACCCTGTTGTCACACAGAAGAAACTAACAAAACAGGTCGTGCCTGATCTACGTTTTATTAATCCTTACAAAGCTATAAGCTTATGCTGCAGTATATGGCGGGTGTAAGGAAACAATTTTTAAGAGACCCAGTTCTCTTAGTTTGACAGGCTCCCATGTGCCTACTGATCGTTCTGCATGGTCACAGCTCAGGACACAAGAACTAGCAAAGGTACAGCTTTCTCTTTTGGTTTTACCATGTGAAGCTCTTCGGTTTTGTCTGAAAGTGCAAAGGTTGCAAAACCTTGCATGGAGGTGAAATCTTCCCTTTGATCTTCTGGAGATTTAGAGCTGCAATAAAAGCCAATAATGGTCTTCAAGCAGCAGTGCTGCAGGTGAGGCTGCAAATGCCGGAGCACAGGCAGAACAGGAGCTTTAATGAAGTTTGTCACTGGCATTTGGCCTAACAAGTAGCTACACGCCTTGAAAAATGGATTAAGGTTAGAGTGGGGCGCGTTAACAGACCACGGCCGTTATCACAGGGACACGGTAATGCTGTTTTGGTTGAACAGTCTCAGTGTTTTCACAGCAGATTATAGGATAGACTTGAACCTGCTCAGCTGAGACGAAGTCAGCGGAGGGAGATTAGTTGTCATGCTCTGACCTTTCTGTGACTTACAGACATATCTCTACCCAAAGCCATTTCGCCCCGAGATTATCCTCTTAAATTGCTGGGGTATGTCATCCTTCTGACACTGCCACCAACGAGCTGCAATTCCTTATGCTTACCATAGGGTAGCATCTTTTGGAATAGGGAAAACTTCCCTGAAGAGCCTTGTTCTTTACAGTCAGAAAGCTGAGGAAACCACATCCCAAATGCTCTGAGGAAACAGCTTTTTTCTTCCCCCTTTTGTGGGAAGTTTGCGAGTGATCTTCTCTTTACCTTAGGAAAGGTTTAGGGTCCATCAGTCCACTGAACCTGAGTGCTGTTACCTTTACTCATCTTTCGGTGACGTACTATAGAATGGTTCCTCATCGCCTTCTGTGTAAAAGAGCTGACGTGAAAGGTTTAAATAGCTACGTGAATGGCGTGAACTAGTGACAAAGTGAGAATGCCCATCCCTCGGATCCTTCCATGCGCTATTTATCTACCCACCTGAATTCCTTAAATACTGTAACCACAGGAAATTCTAAAGCCATTTTCAATAGTTTATAGTTACCTGGCTACATACGTTTACTTGACAAAAGCACAGAACAACCACCAAGAAGCAAATATTCAAACCTCACAGACCAACATTAATCAATGAAACACAAGAAAATGCAGTTTCCTACACCAGTAAATTACAATATGCTTGTGTAAATATAGCTAGTGATCCAGAAACAACCTGATTTAGATCCAACCTCAATTGCTGGGAAAAAAAAAATGAGTTATACAACCCAAATTTTCTGATTTTTTGGCTCAAAGGTAAACAAGCAATAAACTTGCCCTCCTACTCAGGAGTTGTGTAACAGGGGAAGTAAAAATATTGCTGGAGGCCTGATGGCTCCCTCTCTGTCCTTAAGAGACCTCTCTGCTCCAGCCAGGAGCAGGAGAGAAGACTGCAATTCTGATTCCAGGAAACCTTACTGCAAATTGAAAATTCTAAAAATTCTATTCAAAAAGCAGTTAGGAGTACTCAGGCAAAGTTTGGTACGGAAAAGAAAGGGAACAAAGTATGTTACTTCAGGAGAAGCCTGCAGACTTCACTCCCATATCCTTTGAATTGCTCTGGATTACGTTGCAGCAGAAATCGTGTACCTTTACAGGTTTCCCAGAGATACTGTGGATGCCCCATCCCTGGATGCCTTCAAGGCCAGGCTGGACGAGGCTTTGAGCAACCTGGTCTAGTGGAAGGTGTCCCTGCCCATGGCAGGGGGGTTGGAACTAGATGGTCTTTAAGGTCCCTTCCAACCCAAACCATTCTGTGATTCTATGATCCTTCACTCAGGTGTTTACAAATTTCACAGTTCCTGCCGTAAGCAGCTCAGCACAGATAGTACTTTATTTATTACAGTTAACATAACACTCTGCAATTTAAAGTTATGTCGAATTACAAGTGTAGTTTCTTCCAATTATGAAAATCCTGTCCAAAGGGACATAAGATGTTCTCTCTATTGAAAAACTGATACTGTTGTTTTTGACAGATATTGAACTGAAGGCTGCAACATCTTTGGTTAATTTGCTTTTAAACAAGCCTCTTTAGTAGCCTTAGAGGTAAAATTTAAATAATGAATCTTTGTTTGAGAAAGCATTATGTGAATACAAATAGAGAATAATTCCTGATATCAAATTCAATTATAAGTGCTTCATTTTTAAGCACAAACACACAAGATGCTGAAGCACATATGTGCTCATGCCCTACCAAAAAAACCCAAAACAACCCAAAAACCAACCAACAACAAAAAAAACCCTACCAACCGAAAAACCAGGCAAGCAAAACCAGAGCCTTTTCCCTTTTCTTCTCCAGAACTGAGCTGACTGTAAACTCAGACACTTAACCACAAACTGCGTGTGAGCCAGGTGAGCAGCTCTCCTGCCTTGGACTGTAATGACAGCACAGCTATGCTCCAGTGTGTGTTTGGCAACAAAGCACAGGGATGAGATCTGATGCCCAACATCACAACTTTAAGACACAGTCGGATGGTTATTATTTTCACTGCCAGAACTAAACTTTATTTCCATGTGTATTACATACTGGTATTTGATGCCAAGTACATTAACAGAGGATTTGAGTGAGGAATATTTATTCTTCACTAAACAGGTTAAGAAGGCATGTAAAAACCTATAAGAAAAAACTGTTTAAGCTTTGTTCTGATTTTGGCAAACCAAACAGTTAAGTACTCTTCTGTTCTCTCCTCAGATCTTTCAAAGTACTGAAAAAAGCACCTTTTCATAATCATGCAGCTCAAGAAAAAAATAACCTTATAAAATCCATTTCTTATGCTAAATATGGTTACAAATAAGAATATTGACACAAAACTCCCAACTCCCATTTTTAAATACAAATACTGTATTATATTATGAAATGGGGATAATTAAAATATATCAATGACTACAAATCTAGTAATTTAAAGCAAACTTAAACATGCTGTTTGCTTTCATGTGGAAGAATTAGGATACTGTACGGTTCAAGCACTGCAGTAATTTCTGTCAACTCCTTGATGCCCAGAGTGTCAAACTGTCAAACACAGAGACATGTATTCAGGTCTGAATAGCACCAGGTGGTTTTCTTTTTTTTTTTTCTCCCCTTTTCAATATATTAACATTTAATAAGATGAGGGACATGACAACTTTCTGAAAGTGACATGCACAAGTAGACAATTTTCTTCAAGTCTCCAACCAATAAGCTAAGAGCTTGAGACAATTCGGAACAATTACTGATGTATTTCATGGTACACAAGAAAACAGTGCTTCCACAGTATATCCTCACTTCTCAAGTACAAAAATATCCATTATGGGTAGTCAATAGTTATCAAAATTTTTATTGGTACAGAACGAAAGCAGCATTTACTTTATTGTTTTTTAAACCATACATCATAAAATTCCCCTAGTACACACGTGGAGGAGTGAAATAGGCTCTGTACTATTTACCTGCTACTGATCCTAGGTCCAGATTTAAAATCTTAATAGATTTTGCCAGATACAAACAATATCATTAATAGCAAAGGGAAGGCAGTTCCTCAGTGTGAAAGGTCAGCATTTAGAGTCTTACTAAAGCACTATTTTTGAAACAATACATCACTTAAATGTATACTTACATACACTACAAGTGGAAAACAAGTTTTTATTAACATGAACTATTGAGACTGGGCATAAATGTCTTAACCACAAACTCTGGAAACATTATGGGTGCTCTGATGTGGCCCTTCTTGGCGAGAGCGTAAGAATAATGAAGTATGGCTTTTCAATCTTCCTTTAAAAGCACGTTTTATAAAGTTTTGTAGGCTTAAATTGTTTTAGAGGACCCCTAACATTTTTCTGTAACATCTAATTTGAAGCAATAATTACATCAGTACACTAAGCCGTTTGCTGACAGCTGATCACCAGCGTAACACAGGAGCCGTTCGCTTTTGCTGTTGTTCTTTAAGTAAGGGAGGTACTTTTCTAGAGAGAGCCATCCTACAGTACTATCAAACGTATCAGAGGTTACTACATAGCTTCTCCAATAAAATCTTCGACAGTTTTGTTTTCCAGCAGATATTCAAATCAAACATATGCAGAGAGCAAATACAATCAGGTGCGGACCGTTCAAAAGCCTCTCGGACATACTGTTTTACAGTCACCCTCTGCAAAATAAAAGCCCCTCCTCACCCCAATGAGAGGGGGCGAGAAGGGGAAACAGGTCTGCCATTCATGTAGGAGTTTGGCTAGCATAAAGTTTTATTAAAGTTGTTAACAAAAATAGTTAAACATTTTTTACAATTTAACATCCAGTCTGACAAAAGGCAAATCAATGAAAAAAATACAAAAAAGTAAAAAAGTGCACTACCCAGTCCAGTATTTTGCTTTAAAGTCCTGTCACTTACAGTATATGAAAAATAAACCCAGAAGTGTAATTACTTTAAAATACACCGCTTCCATATTTCAGTATTTTACACATATATTCTATAGTGGAAGAGGAGATCTCTTAAAAACTTTACTCTTAAAATATTGAGGTGCATATGCCAAGCGGGATCGACTTGGCAAGTTAAGTTGCAGTAGAGAATCCTTTCAAATTTGGCATTTCATTTACATACCTTACCGTGCCAGCAAGGTGTGTAGTACCTAAGCCTTCTAGTAAGAACAGTAATTTTCTTTAATGCAGATTTACTAATACAGACAACTACAAGAAACGGTGAGGTCAGCAATTCTATGGGATCTTAAGGAGATACGAGTCCTGATTTTGTCGTCAAATGGTACAATGTCACAACAAACTTTAAGGCCATGTTTTATTTGCTGATTAATGGACAAAAGGCAATGGATTTCCCCCCCCACCAAATATTTTCTTGAAAGTCTGTGCTCATAAAAATCATGTAAAGTTGGAAAGACTTAATTATTGAAACTTTAAATATATTTTACACAATCTTGTTTGTACAAAAATACAAGTTAAATATAAACATAAAGCAATCATGATAATTTTATGTAAATCCATTTTGTGATATTCTGTTATATATAAAAAAGTTTCTCAGCTCTGTCTCATTTGTGAAAAGATCAATACCAGATTGAATCACTACTGGCAAAGGGCCCTAAAAAGCACACTTTAGCATTAAATATGTTTTACAATGCAAGTACCATTTCTTGATTTCATCTTTTTCTAAAGACTGGCAAAAGATAGGGCAGTATGTCCATAAACCAACAAATAATTTGGCTACAATGTCATAAAACACAAACACACAAATCTGTACAATAAACCCAGTAGCTATGCGGTACGTACTTGTTACACACACACATACACAGACATGGAATGAAACTTAGTGAGACGCCATTTCTAGTTCACTGTTCTTCAGCCTGGCATTTTGTCTTACTTCATCAAATGAATATGACTTCGTTACCTTCCCATTCTTAAATACTGTATGGAGGAGATCCTGCAAGAAACACCACTGTTTTAGCAAGAGCGCTGTAGCAAACGAACAAACAACACAGGTCATGCAAACTCAAAAGCAAGCACCTGACTCAAGCCTAGTAAGGATACAGCTTTAGACTGTCAACAGCCTAAATCTTTACAGCTTCTTCTGACATCTTTCACTAATGGGTAGACAGGAGAAAGGATTTAGGCCATCCTGTGCACAGACAGAAGCTTTCTGCCGAGCAGTCCCTAAAGTGTGCTGTCCACATCTGGCCAAAGTCAAAAACCACACACGCTAAATAGGCCCTGCTAGAGCAGCTAGTCAGAAAGGCAACGCTCAATCAATTAAATACAATTCAATTAGAGAGGTTTAAATGGAGTCTTTGTTTCCTCTAGGGCAGCTGTGAAAGAAGATTATAAAAAAAAAAAAAACAATCTTTCTTTGCAGATGCATTTTGTGAAGCAGTGTCTTTAGAAGTGCTCGCAAGCAGCACACTGAACGATCAGGAAGCGCAGCTTTGTGCCAAAAAGCTGGCACAGCAGCAACATCGAGCAGTCGCTACGCTTGCTGGCCTATTGCACAGCCCTGCGGTTTTAGGGGAATGGACCCACAAAAGAGTACGTTTCCCTGTCACTCCTGAGGGAGCCCCAGAACCTGTACCACACAAATAACCCTCTAACATCCCAGGACAGAAAATTTCTTAATGAATTATTTCACCTGCCAAACATGAAGGAACTATATATATTGCCTAATTTCTGAGCCAAAGACTTGTGAATTGTTCAGAAGAGATTTCTCACCATTAGGCCCCTCCCTCTCCACATACCCGTATGTTCATCACAAACATATATACATGCGTATGTGTAACTTCCAAAGTATTTTTTCACAGATCTTTGCACCCAGAGCACATTATCTAGTGTATATAACTCAGTTTGGTTTCTGTCTTGAAATTGTTCAGAGCTCCCAGTTTTACGTTCACAGCTGCGTAGAACAGTACGCCTAGTAGCACCCCTCTGCCTAGCAGCACAGAAATGTGCTTCTGTACACCACAAAACCAAAGAAACTTTCAGCTTCTAAAGCCTGAAGTGCAGTTTGACAACTTATTTTCAACTCCCTGAATTCAGGAAGAGACTCAACATACGATTAAACAATTCATTGCTTGCACATTGAAAAAGTAAGAGAGATCCAACTGAAAGCCTGATGTGGGCATAACGATTGTACTTATTTTACTGAAGTAGCATTTCATTTTGCAATTGGAAAGAATTCACAGGGAAACTGAGCTCCTGGTTTAAATTTACATCTTTGAAAACTGGGCAGCTACTCCACAAAGCATTAACACCTGAAGGAATTACTTAAAAACCTCAACGGGGAAGTGGAAACCAATTTTAGTTACATCTGTCCTTCTCCCACCCCCAACTCGGGTCAGTACTCAGATTGTGCAATACAGCCCATACAAAACTACTTGGCTAGCATATATTCTGCAACACTGAGACATTAGCTCTGGGGAAAAAGCAGCAATATTCTCTTGTTTCTGAAGACAAAGATCTCTAATTGTAAAGCCTGAACATTCTACTGGCATTCTACCATTCTGCTGTTACTGAATTTAGTGCTGGGGAAAACAAGAGTTGAACAAAAAGACAATAAAAAAATGAATTCTGAACTGAAGTTGTAGCCTGCCTTTTCTCATTCTATTTTCCATGAAGAATGATGTAATACATTTTGGAAATTCATACCTGTCCATACTCTTCAAGGTCTCCCTTGCCTTCTTCAAGCGTCACGTAGTCTCCAGTGGGTGTCCTATGCAACGATAGCCGCCCTTTCTTTGACCTTTTGTTGGGATCGGCAACTGGATCCTTGAAGACATTCACCTAAAATGAAAAGTGTTTTTTTTAGAATGCCTTAGCTGAGCTTGTATATCTAACGCAGATGGTGGCAATGTAACAGGAAATGTCAAACAGGTGTTCAAGTGGGGAAGCTTCTATGGAAAACAGTGGTAGAAGTCGTACAAAGACTTACTCCGAGACCGTTGGTCACCACGTAGCTACATTTGAAGGAACAGTTTAGGAGATCTCTGGTTAGTTTCTGCAACAAAGCTCCACCAGATCCAAAGGCAATATTCTCAATACTCCATTTATTCTTCTTCATTCCCTCCACAATCTAGTAAGAAAAAGAAAATTATGATGGAACATACTTCTAGGCCATTCCATTTTTCCATAAAAACATTATACTACTTAAACAAGATGCTTTTACAGACAATTAAACCAACTAACATTCAGTTTCCAGGAGATGTATGTAACAATTCCATCAATACTTGGCACGCTGTTTGTATTTTTATTTGTGACTCCAGCGTGGCACAGTTACAGAAAGCTTTTTCTGTACAACTGTTATCGTGCCAGCATATATACTTCCCAAACTCAGGTAGCACAGTGATGCAATGCCCAGACAATCAGAGCTCTAAGGAAAATAAAAGACTTCATTGGAGTATTTCAGAGCCTTCCGGTTTCTCAGAATTACGGGAAGACCTCAAAGCATAGCATGGACCCTGAAACAAAGCAGTCATCTTGCTCATCAGCTCCAGAAAGTTATTACCCACTTTGACCAATGACTTCAACAGAGCAGTTATGAAAAATCACATTGACTAGAACTAGATCAGCAGTTTCAAAGATGGGACATGAAAATAAATAAAGCTGCTCAAACGGTTTGCTTTGCCACCTTCTCAGACAGGTACAGATCAACATGAACTGCGCTGCTATCAACAGTCAAGTTAACACCAACTATATAATTTTCCCCCACCCTCATTCTATCCAGTCATCCTCTAGCCTGGAGTAATGGGTGTCAGTTTAGTCATGCTCATAAATGGCCCAGATTTGTTCCCCTCACCCGTTACCCTTATGACAGCCTGAAACACTGGTTATAGCCCCAAGGAGAGAGTGCTTAACTCCTATCTCCTAACCACTTTACTAACAAAAGTGGGTGAGAAAACTTCAGAGTGAGTGAAACAGCAAAATCCCATCTATCCAGAAAAAAAGGACAGTGAGAAGCAGAATGGAAGCACAAAATCTATGAGGAACAGCACAGAGTTTCAAAAATCAACATCATCGTCAGAAATCTGGTAATCTTCTGTGCGGTCTCAGCCTCCCACATACCAAAGAAGTGCCAGAGTAACACAGAACAGGACTGTTGCTGGAGCTACTGATGTCAAGCCACTTTTTTAAGGGACAGCTGAAGTTTCATTCATAAGAAGAAAAAAGAAAAGAAAAAAAAATACAATTCCCACTTCAGACAGTGGCAAACGGGTAGCTAATCAAACAAAAGAGCATACTAGTGGTTTTTTTTATCTATTAGTCAGATGCAGACTGCCCCTTCGCAGATACTCTCAGTCTGAACACCTGAGAGAGGCCAGCCAACAGGAACAGTGGGCTGCAGAGCCATAACTGTTTCAGGGTATGCTCTGAACACCTTCCCACTCCATTTCTACCAGAGATTTCCCCAGCAGAGATCTCATCAGTGAGTTTCCACCATTCTAATGGTGCCAGCTTACTCAATCACATCCAAGAAGCCAAGCGAAATGAATCTCAGGCCCTACCACCATGACTGTCATTTAAGGTAACCTCTTGGAAGCTTTGTATCCTAAATACCCCCTCCATATGCAACAGTCCTGTGGATTTTAGCAGTAGTCATCATATCCTTTCAGACAGTGACCATGCACAAAAGAAATCTGTATTTTCTGGTGATTAGGTTCTCCTGGAAGCAGTTAAAAGGGGTAGGTGGGGAAGACAAAGAATTGAAAAGAATTAAATTCTCCCTTAAGCATCTCAGAAGTAACTGAAGATGATAAAGGAAGGGTAAGAAAAAGGATTCTGTATACCCTCTCATGAGGCCCAATAGTACTGTGAGATAGCAGCCTTGACTGGGCCTGGCTACAGACTCAGCTTATTTACGCTATCTTTTGAAAATGCAAATGTAGGCAAAATCTACCTGGACTCTGAGCAAGTTCTGTCCAGATGCTGACTAAGTCTGAAGCCATGTACGTGGCAGTTTGCGTGGCAAGGTTGTGGTAGCAGGGGGGAAACTGGGGAGGGGAACAGGGGTGGCTTCTGTGAGAAGCTGCCAGAAGCATCCCCCATGTCCAACACAGCCAATGCCAGCCGTCTCCAAGACAGACCAGGTGCTGGCCAAGGCCGAGCCCGTCAGTGACGGTGGTAGCGCCGCTGGGGTAATATTTGAGAAGGGGAGAAAAAACCTGTGCAAGAGAGGAGTGAGAATATGTGAAAGAAACAACTCTGCAGACACCAATGTCGGTGAATAAGGAGAAGGTTCACCTTGAGCTAATAGCCCCGAGTTGAGTCTGTATTGCCCATGATGGTAACTGGGGAGTGATCTCCCTGTCCTTATCTCGACTCATGAGCTTTTATTCCTATTTCCTCGCCCCTGCCCAGCTAAGGAGGGCAGTGACAGAGCAGTTTTGGTGGGCTCTTGGCCTCCAGCCAGGGTCAACCCACCACATGAGGTGAACTGTTAGCCAAGCCTGAACCAACGTATTCTACTCCTTATCCAGTTTTCTGTATCAGGTCTGACACTGAACTCGGTTAAACATGCCCACAAAATGTAGCACAAACTACCTGGTACAGACAACACCCCACTGAGGCACACGATGCTTAGATCTCACGTTTGCTGATACCTGCAGGTTAACAGATGCTAATAGAAGCGTAACACAGCTGGGCCGTGGTTGCTTAACCTTCTTGCCTGGGTGAGAAGAAACATGAACCCCCTTTCAGCTAGTATTCCTGCTCTCGTTTACAGACGGTCTGCTCATCTTGTGCCACAGGCACAAGTCCTTACCTACCCTGGGTGAAGAACCGGCTTCCACCTTCCCACTCTCTCCCAAGGGATTTCCTTACTCAGACTGATCTTTGGCTGGTGAGGGGTGGAAGGGAAGGGAAATCGAGACAGCTGAAAGACAGCTCTGACTGTACCAGTGACCCGCAGCAGAGGCCCAGATAACAGCTTCCTTCAGGATGGGGAAGAGATGGCAAATAGCAGCAGTAACAGGGAAGAAAAGGGGGAGATCTGAACAACTGAAACCTCCCCCAGAGAAGAACAATACAGAAGAATTTGTCTCACACTTTCAAACCTATACAGGGAGAATAGTTCAGGTGTTGAAGTTTTGACAGGCTTCCTCTGACCATTATGAGCATGATATCAGCTGTGACTCCAGATTAGAGAATTTTCTTTGTATGAAAGTTTAAAGACATCTGGAAATTGAATGTTCAAAGAAAATCCTTTGAAAGTGTAGTATATTGTGGAGTTAGCAGATTGGAATGATTTTAAAAAGTGAAAATGCTAGAAGAAATCAGAAAAGGTTCCTTACCTGTTCTACCAGCATCCCCTATTAAAACAAAGAATTTTAAAATCCAGTTTATACTCCAAGTTGTTTTCTATATTGTTGTTTCAGCTAGTTTGGATAGTTAAGTGAGACTGACTGGCTATTAGTCATTCTAGATATTCTTACTGTACCCATTACCTCTCACCTGATCCATAACAATCAATCATGCCTGGAATCTAAGACTGACATAGGATAATTAGAATAATCACGTGCAAGGGCTATAAGACAGGGGAAAAAAAAGGATGGCCACAGCAATACTTTTGTATTTCTTCACATAACTCCTTTTTCGAAAGGTTGGGTTGGTTTTGGGGTGGGTGGGTTTTTTTAGTTGTCGGTGGTGGTTGTGTTTTTGTGGTGGTGTGGTTGGTTTTCTGTGGGTTTTGTTTCTTTGGGGGGTTTTGTTTTTTTTTTTTTTGGAGGGGGGCAGTGTTTGGTTTTGGTGTTTTGGGTTTTTGGTGGTTTTTTTTGTTTTGTTTTTTTTTTTTAAATGGCAAGCTATTAGCTAATATTCCAAAGTCAGCATGGAAAGCTTGGTTTTGCTGATACAAGAGGATAAAGAGATCCATGAAATTTAAACATGACTAAAATTAGGCTGCAAGTTTGGGGTTTTTTTTTCCTCCAACATAAATTGGTGCTGTCAAATAAGAAGTGTCTTTTTCCTTCCTTCTTGCTTCTCCCAGCTCAAAACAGCAGCTTATTTTCTCTCCTGTACTATGCTGGTGAGTACTGGCTCCTTTTTTGAGCCAATTTAATACACTAAACCAAAAAAGAAAGGATCACTTTTGACTCTGAGGTTTCTACTGTATGTGTGGGCTAAATGATTTTAACGACCAGCAGTTCAATGACCAACACTGACATGAGGTGCGCAGCACAATTACAGAGAAGGCACTAGGCAGCAGTGAGTTGTGTCTGCTCTGTATGTCTTGTGGAACTGGATCTTCAGCTCTCTTCTACTACATATTACAGGCAGACTTTTCCTCATAGTCAGTCACGATTTGATGGGGAAAATACGTAAAAAGGCAGATCATCTGAACAAAGAATTGCTCCTTCTGGCTCTTATCCTCTCCCACTAGCTGCTGGAATTATTTTCCTACTCTATTTAGAACTTGGAGAGCAATGTATTTTTTCATAGAATCACAGAACGGCTTGGGTTGGAAGGGACCTTAAAGATCATCTAGTTCCAACCCCCCTGCCATGGGCAGGGACACCTTCCACTAGACCAGGTTGCTCAAAGCCTCATCCAGCCTGGCCTTGAACACTCCAGGGATGGGGCATCCACAGCTTCTCTGGGCAACCTGTTCCAGTGCCTCACCACCCTCTCCGGGAAGAACTTTTTCCTGATATCTAATCTAAACCTCCCCATTTTCAATTTAAACCTGTTACCCCTTGTCCTGTCACTACAGGCCCTTGTAAAAAGTGCCCCCCCAGCTTCCTTGTAGGCCCCTTCAGGTACTGGAAGGCTGCAATTTCCCTCTAATGCAAATACTTTAAATACTAGTCTTAATATTTTGATTACAAACAGTGCTGTACATGGATCCTTTAATTTTGTCCAATATAACTTACAGGAAGTAACCTTTGAATTCCTTACAAGAATCAATCAACAGTCCAGTTTCTCTCCTGTCATGACTCATGAAAAACTCAACAGTATACTTTGCCTGACACAGGCATCAGTCCTGTTAAACAGTTGCTGAGAAGCAGCAGAAATTTACTAAAATAAGTCTCTTCCCCTAGTATGTGATAAGACTTTCTTAACCTCTCATGCTTCTCCCTCTCGTGCTTGTGTCCCATTAAGCACATTGGCATAGCTGTACATTCTCAAAAAGCCACACAGGA